GTGGGGTGGCAGGAAGGGGGGGGGTCGGAGTCCCACAGCCCTGTGGGGGAGTTGTGGGGTGGGATGAGACCCATGGGGGTATTATGGGATGGGAGGAGCGGGGCGGGCGGGGGTCCTGCAGGCCCTCAGGGGTTGTGGGGTGGGAGGTGGGGGTCCCGCAGCCCCTGCCCACCCCATCCCACCCCGCAGGCAGCGACGCCGCGTCCCAGCAGGAGTTCACCTCGTGCCTCAGGGAGACGCTGAGCGGCCTGGCCCGGAACGCCACCGACCTGCAGGTGGGGACGGGGGTCCCCAGCCCTGGTGTCACCGACCGCTGGTCTCAGTAATGTCACCACGTCCCCACGGGGCCTGGGGACACGGATTGAGGGCTGTCCCCAATTCCAGTTCCTGATGTCACCAGCCCTCCATGTCCCCACACGACTCGGTGACGTGGAACGAAGGGTGTCCCCAACCCTGGTCCCTGTTGTCACTGATGTCACTGTGTCCCCACAGGGCCTGGGGACATGGAAAGAGGGCTGTCCCCAATTCCAGTTCCTGATGCCACCAACCCCCCGTGTCCCCACATGGCTTGGTGACGTGCAATGAGGGCTGTCCCCAACCCTGGTTCCTGATGTCACTGTGTCCCCAACCCTGGTCCCTGGCATCGCTGATGTCACTGTGTCCCCACGGGGCCTGGGGACATGGATAGAGGGCTGTCCCCAGCTCCAGTTCCTGATGTCACCAGCCCTCCATGTCCCCACACGACTCGGTGATGTGGAACGAAGGGTGCCCCCAACCCTGGTCCCTGCTGTCACTGATGTCCCCAACCCCTGGTCTCCCCAATATCGCCGTGTCCCTGCAGGACCCAGGGCATGGATGGAGGGGTGTCACCAAGCCCTGCTGTCACCTGTGTCAGTCACCACGTCCCTGCATGGCCTGGTGGAACAAAGGGTGTCCCCAACCCTGGTCCCTGTTGTCACTGATGTCACTGTGTCCCCACAGGGCCTGGGGACATGGGCGGACGGCTGTCCCCAGCCCTGATGTCACCAACCCTCCATGTCCCCACATGGCTTGGTGACGTGGAATGAGGGCTGTCCCCAACCCTGGTCCATGGTGTCACTGATGTCACTGTGTCCCCACAGGGCTTGGGGACATGGATAGAGGGCTGTCCCCAGCCCTGATGTCACCACATCCCCACAGGACCTGGGCATACAGAGGGCTGTCCCCTGATCCCCGGTGTCCCCACGTCCTCGCGAGGCTCAGGGACGCCAACTGAGAGGCGCGCGTGTCCCCAATGTCCCCGCTGTCACCCGCAGGGCTCGGCAGCATCAGAGGAGGATCTGGCGAAGGCCATGGAAGGGCTGGGGCTGGAGGAGGGCAGCGGGGAGGGCGGCGTGCTGCCCGTGGTGCAGAGCGTGCTGCAGCACCTGCTGAGCCGTGACGTGCTCTACCCCTCGCTCAAGGAGATCACCGACAAGGTGAGGGGGGACAGCAGGGACAGAAAGGACAGCAGGGACAGAAGGGACAGCAGGGACAGAAAGGACAGCAGGGACAGAAGGGACAGCAGGGACAGGCTGCTCCTTGTCACTGTCACTGCACCCCAAGTGGCTGCAGCAGCACCAGGCAGTGCTGGGGCGCATGGTGGGGCGCTGCTGGTGGGAGGCTGGGGGGGAAAGGCTCTGGGGATGGGGACAGGTGGGGGGACTGGGGACAGCGGGGGCAGCGGGGACACCTCCTTGTTGTCACAGCACCCTGAGCGCCTGCACCGGGCAGCACTGGGGCACACAGTGGGGCGCTGCTGGTGGGGGGCTGGGGGGCGAAGGCCCTGGGGATGGGGACAGATGGGAGGACTGGGGACAGTGGGCGCAGCTCCTTGTCACTGTCACAGCACCCCGAGTGGCTGCAGCAGCACTGGGGCACACGGTGGGGCGCTGCTGGTGGGGAGCTGGGGGGTGAGGGTCCTGGGGATGGGGACAGCGGGGACACGTTGTTGTCACTGTCACAGCACCCTGAGCGCCTGCACTGGGCAGCACTGGGGCACACAGTGGGGCGCTGCTGGTGGGGGGCTGGGGGGCGAAGGCCCTGGGGAAGGGGACAAATGGGAGGACTGGGGACAGCAGGGGCAGCTGCTTGTTGTCACTGTCACAGCACCCCGAGTGGCTGCAGCGGCACTGGGCAGCACTGGGGCACATGGTGGGGCGCTGCTGGTGGGGAGCTGGGGGGCGAAGGCCTTGGGGATGGGGACAGTGGAGACACCTCCTTGTTGTCACAGCACCCTGAGCGCCTGCACCGGGCAGCACTGGGGCGCACGGCGCTGCTGGTGGGGGGCTGGGGGGCGAAGGCCCTGGGGATGGGGAAGGGGACAGATGGGAGCTGCTTGTTGTCACTGTCACAGCACCCCGAGTGGCTGCAGCGGCACTGGGCAGTGCTGGCGGACACGGTGGGGTGCTGCTGGGTGGGAGCTGGGGGATGAGGGTCCTGGGGATGGGGAAGGGGACAGATGGGAGGACTGGGGACAGCAGGGGCAGCTGCTTGTTGTCACTGTCACAGCACCCCGAGTGGCTGCAGCGGCACTGGGCAGCACTGGGGCACACGGTGGGGTGCTGCTGGTAGGGAGCTGGGGGGTGAGGGTCCTGGGGATGGGGACAGCGGGGACACGTTGTTGTCACTGTCACAGCACCCTGAGCGCCTGCACCGGGCAGCACTGGGGCACACAGTGGGGCGCTGCTGGTGGGGGGCTGCGGGGCGAAGGCCCTGGGGATGGGGACAGGTGGGAGGACTGGGGACAGCAGGGACAGCTGCTTGTTGTCACTGTCACAGCACCCCGAGTGGCTGCAGTGGCACTGGGCAGTGCTGGGGGGCACGGTGAGGTGTTGCTGGTGGGAGCTGGGGGGCGAAGGCCTTGGGGATGGGGACAGTGGAGACACCTCCTTGTTGTCACAGCACCCTGAGCGCCTGCACTGGGCAGCACTGGGGCGCACGGCGCTGCTGGTGGGGAGCTGGGGGGTGAAGGCCCTGGGGATGGGGAAGGGGACAGATGGGAGCTGCTTGTTGTCACTGTCGCAGTACCCCGAGTGGCTGCAGCGGCACCGGGCGGCGCTGCCGGAGGAGCAGTACGAGCGTTACCGGGCGCAGCACGGCGTCATGGGCCGCATCTGCCAGCAGCTGGAGGCCGAGCGACCCGAGGACAGCGAGGGGGACAGGAGGGCGCGCTTCGAGGCCGTGCTGGAGCTGATGCAGCAGGTGGGGACGTGGTGGGGGTGACAGGGGACGCGGGGCTGGCGGTGGGCGCTGATGGGGCGCTGCTCTTCTCCAGCTGCAGGAGCTGGGGCACCCGCCCAAGGAGCTGGCTGGCGAGGCGGTGAGTGTCCCCCCCTGTCCCCTGCTGTCCCTGGGGGTCTTTTCCATGTTGTCCCCAACTGTCCCCGGCTCTCGACCATCCCCGGTTGTCCCCAGCAGTCCCTACTTGTCCCTACAGGTCTCCCCAACTGTCCCCACGTGTCCCCCAGCTCTCAGCCATCCCAGCTGTCCCCTGCCGCCCCCCTGTTGTCCCCAACCCATCCCCACGGGTTCCCGGTTGTCCTTCAACCAACCATTCCCAGTTGTCCCCAACTGTCCCCAGCGGTTCCCGACTGTCTCCAATTGTCCCCTGCAGTCCCTGACTGTCCCCAGTTGTCCCCCAAATGTCTCTCATTGTCCCCAGTTTGCATTCCACTGTCCTCAGCCGTCCCTAATTGCCCTCCACCATCCCCAACTGTCCCCAATAATTGTCCCCAACTGTCCCCAACTGTCCCTCATTGCCTCCATCTCCATCCAACCCCATTTGTCCCCAACTGTCCCTCATTGCCTCCATCTCCATCCAACCCTCATTGTCCCCAATTGTCCCTCATCGCCTCCATCTCCATCCAACCCCAGTTGTCCCCAATTGTCCCTCATTGCCTCCATCTCCATCCAACCCCCGTTGTCCCCAACTGTCCCTCATTGCCTCCATCTCCATCCAACCCCAGTTGTCCCCAACTGTCCCTCATTGCCTCCATCTCCATCCAACCCCAGTTGTCCCCAACTGTCCCTCATGGCCTCCATCTCCATCCAACCCCAGTTGTCCCCAACTGTCCCTCATCACCTCCATCTCCAATCCAACCCCATTTGTCCCCAACTGTCCCTCATTGCCTCCATCTCCAATCCAACCCCATTTGTCCCCAACTGTCCCTCATCCCCTCCATCTCCAATCCAACCCCATTTGTCCCCAACTGTCCCTCATTGCCTCCATCTCCAATCCAACCCCAGTTGTCCCCAACTGTCCCTCATCACCTCCATCTCCAATCCAACCCCATTTGTCCCCAACTGTCCCTCATTGCCTCCATCTCCATCCAACCCCAGTTGTCCCCAACTGTCCCTCATTGCCTCCATCTCCATCCAACCCCCGTTGTCCCCAACTGTCCCTCATTGCCTCCATCTCCATCCAACCCCAGTTGTCCCCAGCTGTCCCTCATCACCTCCATCTCCAATCCAACCCCATTTGTCCCCAACTGTCCCTCATTGCCTCCATCTCCATCCAACCCCAGTTGTCCCCAACTGTCCCTCATTGCCTCCATCTCCATCCAACCCCCGTTGTCCCCAACTGTCCCTCATTGCCTCCATCTCCATCCAACCCCAGTTGTCCCCAGCTGTCCCTCATCACCTCCATCTCCAATCCAACCCCATTTGTCCCCAACTGTCCCTCATTGCCTCCATCTCCATCCAACCCCAGTTGTCCCCAACTGTCCCTCATTGCCTCCATCTCCATCCAACCCCCGTTGTCCCCAACTGTCCCTCATTGCCTCCATCTCCATCCAACCCCAGTTGTCCCCAGCTGTCCCTCATCACCTCCATCTCCATCCAACCCCCGTTGTCCCCAGCTGTCCCTCATCACCTCCATCTCCATCCAACCCCCGTTGTCCCCAACTGTCCCTCATTGCCTCCATCTCCATCCAACCCCACTTGTCCCCAACTGTCCTTCATTGCCTCCATCTCCAATCCAACCCCAGTTGTCCCCAACTGTCCCTCATTGCCTCCATCTCCATCCAACCCCATTTGTCCCCAACTGTCCCTCATTGCCTCCATCTCCATCCAACCCCATTTGTCCCCAACTGTCCCTCATTGCCTCCATCTCCATCCAACCCCAGTTGTCCCCAGCTGTCCCTCATCACCTCCATCTCCATCCAACCCCCGTTGTCCCCAACTGTCCCTCATTGCCTCCATCTCCAATCCAACCCCAGTTGTCCCCAACTGTCCCTCATCACCTCCATCTCCATCCAACCCCAGTTGTCCCCAACTGTTTCTCATTGCCTCCATCTCCAATCCAACCCCAGTTGTCCCCAACTGTCCCTCATCACCTCCATCTCCATCCAACCCCCGTTGTCCCCAACTGTCCCTCATTGCCTCCATCTCCATCCAACCCCAGTTGTCCCCAACTGTCCCTCATCGCCTCCATCTCCATCCAACCCCAGTTGTCCCCAACTGTCCCTCATTGCCTCCATCTCCATCCAACCCCATTTGTCCCCAACTGTCCCTCATGGCCTCCATCTCCATCCAACCCCAGTTGTCCCCCACTGTCCCTCATTGCCTCCATCTCCATCCAACCCCATTTGTCCCCAACTGTTTCTCATTGCCTCCATCTCCAATCCAACCCCAGTTGTCCCCAACTGTCCCTCATCACCTCCATCTCCATCCAACCCCCGTTGTCCCCAACTGTCCCTCATCACCTCCATCTCCAATCCAACCCCAGTTGTCCCCAGCTGTCCCTTCCCTTTCCTTGAGGGTCTGGGCACCCTATGGGGACGGTGCCCTTTGGGGACGTCCCACCTCGGGGGTGCTGAGCTGTCCCCATTCTCCTCCATCCCCGCTGTCCCCTGCAGCCCCCTGGCTTCAACCTGGACCTGGAGGGGCTGACTCTGCCCGAGGCCACCGGCGAGCAGTGCCTGGTGATGTGACAGCGACGTCCCCTCCCCGCTGCTGAGCGTTGAGGCCAGCCCCCGCCTCGTTAATTAGGGTCATTAACGCCCGATGTGAGGATGATGAGGACGAAGGAGAGGAGCGCGGCTGCGTGGGACGCGGAGCGGCGCTGGGTGCGGCGCTGGGTGCGGCGTCCCCGATGTCCCCCGATGTCCCCGTGGGGATGGGACGTCACTTTGAGGGCAGGAGGAGTCGGGTGCCGGGCTGGGGGGGACGTTCCTGTCCCCAACCCCACAGCGCTGTCCCCACGCGGGGGGACGAACCGCAGGCGGTGAGCGGCCGCCACGGCCCCAATAAAGGTGACGGCAACCGCGGCAGTGCCGCGTGGCGGAGCTCGTGGGACCCTGCAGTCACAGGGGGGGACCCTACAGCGACATCGGGGGGGACGCGACCCTACAATAACACAACAAGGGTCGTGGGGTGACCCTACATAACATAAGGGGGGGCCGTGACCCTAAGTGACACAATGGGGGTCACACAATACGATACGTGGGTCATACGATGCGATAACACGGGGTGACCCTACAATAACATGGCGGGGGGACACGTGACCCTACAATGACATGGGGTGACCCTACAATAACATGGCAGGGGGACACGTGACCCTACAGTGACATGGGGTGACCCTACAATAACATGGCAGGGGGACACGTGACCCTACAGTGACATGGGGTGACCCTACAATAACATGGCAGGGGGACACGTGACCCTACAGTGACATGGGGTGACCCTACAATAACATGGCAGGGGACACGTGACCCTACAGTGACACGGGGTGATCCTACAATAACATGGCAGGGGACACGTGACCCTACAGTGACATGGGGTGACCCTACAATAACATGGCAGGGGGACACGTGACCCTACAGTGACATGGGGTGACCCTACAATAACATGGCAGGGGACACGTGACCCTACAGTGACATGGGGTGACCCTACAATAACATGGCAGGGGGACACGTGACCCTACAATAATATGGGCTGATGTTATGATCATGGGGGAGGTCATGGAGTGACCCTATAATAACATAAGGGAGGACAGGACTCTACAGTAACACAAGGGTCATGGGGTGACCCTACAATGATGCAGGTGGGGAATGTGACCCTACAAAACTGTGGGGTGGCCCTACAGTGACACGGTAGGGGGACATGTGACCCTACAATGACACAGGGTGACCCTACAATGACATGGGATGATGTTATGATAGTGGGGGAGGTCATGGGGTGACCCTGCAATAACATAGGGGAGGACAGGGCTCTACAGTAACACAAGGGTCATGGGGTGGCCCTACAATTACACGGGAGGGGGGCTCTACACTAACATGGGGTGACCCTACAGTAACACCATGGGGAGCAGACGTGACCCTACAACGGTGCAGGGTGAGCATAGAGGAACGTGGGATGGTCTTGTGATCATGGGGGAGGTTATGGGGTGACCCTACAATGACATAAGGAGACCCATGGGGCGGCCCTGTGATAACACAAGTGGTGGATGTGACCCTACAAGAGCATGGGATGATGTTATGATAATGGGGGAGGCCATGGGGTGACCCTACAGTGACAGAAGGGGGGATGTGATCCTACAGTAACACAACAGGGGTTGTGGGGTGACCCTATAATAACATAAGGGAGGACAGGACTCTGCAGTAACACAAGGGTCATGGGATGACCTTACAATGATGCAGGTGGGGAATGTGACCCTACAAAACCGTGGGGTGGCCCTACAGTAACACGGTAGGGGGACATGTGACCCTACAATGACACGGGGTGACCCTACAAGAACATGGGATGATGTTATGATAGTGGGGGAGGTCATGGGGTGACCCTGCAATAACACAAGGAGGGCCAAGGAGTGACCCTACAGTAACAAGGAGACCTGTGGGGTGGCCCTATGGTAACACAGTTGGTGGATGTGACCCTACAGTAACACAGCAGGGGAATGGGATCCTACAGTAACATGGGGGGACCCTATAATGGCATGAGGTGACCCTACAATAACATGGGGGGACCCTACAATAACACAGGTGGGGAAAATGACCCTACAGTAACACAACAAGGGAATGGGACCCTACAATAACATGGGGGGACCCTACAATGACATGGGTCACCCTATAATGACATGGGGGGACCCTGCAATAACATGGGGGGACCCTACAATGACATGAGGTGACCCTACAATGACATGGGGTGACCCTACAATAACACAGGTGGGGAAAATGACCCTACAGTAACACAACAAGGGAATGGGACCCTACAATGACATGGGGGGACCCTATAATGACATGGGGGGACCCTGCAATAACACAAGCAGGGGAACGGGACCCTACAGTAACACAAGTGGGGATTGAGACCCTACAACAACATGGGGGACCCTACAGTAACACAAGTGGGGATTGAGACCCTACAACAACATGGGGGACCCTACAGTAACACAAGTGGGGATTGAGACCCTACAACAACATGGGGGACCCTACAGTAACACAGGTGGGGATTGAGACCCTACAAAAACATGGGGGACCCTACAGTAACATGGGGGGAGGGGGAAGCAGGAGGTCACGTGAGAACAGCGCCACGCGCGGGGCGACCTTCGACCCGACCGCAACACAACGGGAGGGGGCGCGGCCTCCGTTGCCGTGGCGACGGCGGGGCGGGGAGCGGGTGGTACCGCGGTGTCGCACAGCGGCCGGTGCCGTAGAAGGAGACGCGGTGCCGTAAAGCGCGCCGCGCTGCCGTAAAGGACGCCGCGCTGCCGTAAAGCATCTGGAGGCGGTGCACTGAGATGGCGACGATTGGGCTCAGGGCCGGCGGAGGGGGAGCAGTTGGGGAACACGGGGCTCGCGCCTGAGCGTTGGCCGGGAACGGCAGCGAAAGGGTCTGTGCGGGACCGCCGAGCGGGGAGGGGTCGTTCTTTCCCCTCTTATCTTTGCCGGTTGCGGTTGGGCCCGGTTTTGCGGCCTGCTCCCCCCTCCCCCCCCCCCCGCCTGAGGCCTAGTGAGCCCCGAGGCCCCTGCGGGCCCCTGCTGGGGGGCCGGGTGCGCTGTGCGGTAACCGCGTCCTGGGGGGGTGGCCGTCTGACCCCAGGGGGTCCCTCGGGGGTCACTGCCGCTTTACGGGGGTGCAGAAGGGGTCCCTGGGCCCTGCGTGTGGCCGTTGCCCTTATGAAGGGGCGCCCTGCTCTTCTCAGGGGGGTCCGTGTTATTTTAGGGGGGGGGTCCCCGGTGTCCCTCGGAGGATGTTGCTCTTTTTGGGGGGGGGGGTGTGCAAATGGGATCCCCGTTCCCCCCCCCGCGGGGCCATTGCCCTTTTGAGGGGGGAATCCGTGCTGTTCCCTGAGGGTTTCCCCCTTCTTTGGTTGGGGCGAGGGGGTACGTGGTGCCCCTCGGGGGTCACTGCACTTCTAGGGTGGGTGCAGGAGGGGTCCCTGCCGCTCCCCGTGGGGCTGTTGTCCGTTTGGGGGGAGGCCCTGCTCTTCCCAGCGATTCACTGTGCCTTGAGAAGGGCACAGAGGAGGCCTCCCTGCTGCCTGCCTTCCCCTCCCCACTCCCTGTATACGCTGACCCTTTGGGAGGGGTCCCTGCTACCCCCATGGCAACGTTGTGCCTTTGAGGTTGGGGTCCGTGGTCATCGCCGTGTCCCTCGGGGATTGCTGTACCTTTGGGGAGGGGGCACAAAAATGGGGATCCTTGCTTCTCCACGGGGGTGCCTCTGGGGTGCTCTATGCAGGGACTCCTTGCTACCCCACCCAGGGTGCCCTGCATCTTTTGGGGAGGGGGGTGGGCACCATTGCTCTTCCTAAGGGGTCAGCCCCTCCGTAGGAAGTGTCCCTGCTTTGCCTGGGGAGGGGGTCAGAGTGCTTTTTGTAGGGACAGAAAGGAATCCGTGCTCCCCCCAGGTCCTTCCGTGCCCCCCCCCCATGAGGCATAGTGCCTTTTGGGAGTTCTGGGAGAGAGAGGGGGGGTCCCTGCTACCTATAGAGCATCTGTGCCTGTTCTGGGGGAAGCTGAGAGGGCATCTTTGCTGCTCCATGGAGATCCTCCAACCCTATTTGAGAGCTCCTGGGGTCAGGGGGTCTGGAGGAGGTGGGGGGGGAAAGGGGGGGGGGTCCTTTCTCCTTTATGGGAAACATTCCAGGGATCCTTGTGTCCCCAGGACAGGACCCTCTGCGTGGGGCTGTTGTCTCTGTTGCACTCAGATCCTGTTTCTGTAAACCCAAAGGCCCTTGGGGGGGGGGGACGGGGGGCAGCGGGGGTCCCTTCCACCCCCAGAACGCCATCATCCCATCGAGGGGCTACTGGGGCTCCCCCCCAACCCCCGTGTCCAACCGTTATCCACTGTGTGGCTTTGTCACCCCCTCCTTTCCAGGACTGTCACCTTTGTCCCCGTGGCGCTGCGGTGCTGGGACGGCTGTCCCCGGTTCCCTACCCTGCCAGGCCTTCACCCTTCCTCTGCTTGCAGGTGAGTCGGGCACTGGGCAGAGCCTCCCAGTAAAGGCTCCAAACTGGGAGATGGGAGCTTACTGGAGAGGCTGTTTGCGATGGGCAGGTTGTGCTCCTTGGGGTCTGTCCGTCCGTCTGTCCTTCCTTCCTTCCCGTGCGTTGATTTTTGGAGCCGTGTCGGTGCTGATCTCCGTTGTGACGCCGGATTCCTGGTGTCAGCTCACGGCAGGGAGCTCCCGGCTCCTCATATGGGGGGGTTTCCCCATTCTTGGCCACCTCCCCCAGCCCCAATTCCTCTCAGTGAGGTGGAGCCCCCGTCCTCACGGTCTCTGGATGGGAAGGGGGAGATGCAGGGTGCTGAGGAGCTCATTACCTGCAGTTAATTAGGAGCACGGTTGCACTGTCCTGTATTTCCCTTGCTCAGCCACTCAGAAAACAGTGGGGCACTGGCTATGGGGTTTTGCTGTGGGAGAGCAAATAGGGATAGAAGGGGGCCTGTGGGGCAGCAGGGCACTAACTGTGGGATATTGCTCTGAGACTGCAAACAGGGGGGCACAGGGGGGGTCTGTGGGGCAGTAGGACCCTGGGTCTGGGCTATTGCTAGGGAGGACACGAGGGGGTCTGTAGGATGGCGGGGCCCTGGGGACGGGGGTGGCTGTGTGGCAGCCCCACGGACGGACGCTGCGTCCCCACGGAGGTGCTGTGGGTCACTGTGCTGATGGGCTCACGATGCTGCGATCCGGGGGGGAGAGGTGGGAATTGCTGATCTCCCTTTAATTGCGAGTGGGAAGCTGCTTCATTAACGTCATCAGCGGGGACTGGAAGCTCTGTCATGATCCAAACCTCTCCAGATCTCTCAGCACGAGGGGGGGGGATTCCCCAAGCGTCGGCCAACCGGAGGCTCCCCCCCATCACCCCACAAGGGGGGATTTGGGTGCCGTGGGTCGGTGGGGTTTTCTATGGGGACTGAGCTACCTGCTGGCCCCGGAGCCGCCCCACACTGCGAGCTGCCGCCGTCCGGCCCCGATGAGAGAACTTTCCTTAAATAGAAGAGGCTGAAAGGAACCCGGCGCAACACGTGTGCTCGGCACCGGCAGCGCCAAGGCCACGAGGCTGCGGCTCGGGGTTGGGGGGGGGGTTGGGTTGGAAGCGGGGCCGAGGGGCTCTCGCTTGTGGGTGTCTGCTCTTTTCTTGTTTTTAATGTCTGCTTGCTCCTTATTTGTGTATCCCAAACGCAGCCAGGCCGCCCGGCGGGGCCGTGTGGTGTTTATAGAGCTGTGTAAATCTGCGGGGAGGAGTTTGGGGATGGAGCGGCTGTGAACGCTCCCATTGCCGGCGCTGTGCAGCCGCTCGCTGCCGCTGTGACCCGGTGTTGATGTTGCCAGCACCCGCGAGCTGCTGGAGCGGCTGGTGGCTGCGTGTGAAGCTGGGGGTGGGGGGGGAACGGCCCCAGAGAGCCCGTTGTTGTGGGATGAGCTCAGGAGGCGGTGGCGGCTCGGTGCCGAGGCGGCCGGGCTGTGGCATGCGGAGGGATATTTATAGGGCCTTCGCAGGGGTGCCGTGAGCATGTGAGGCGTTCAGGGCTGATCCTGTCCAGATGCAGCGTCCGGGGCAGCGCAGAACCCGCGTGTCGGTGCCTGGGAGGGGAGCCGGGCCGCGGGACGGGGCGCTGCTGTGGGGCTGCTGATGGGCGCCCGTCCATCGGCTGGATCAGAGCGAGGCCCCGTTCGGGGCGTGCTGTGGGGCCTGGTGACCTCCAGCGGGGCCGAGCGGCGTCCCGATGATCGCCTGAGGATCGCCTGAAGCATCGCTGCAGCTCGGGGAGGTGGGAGCGACCGCTTTGGTGCCGCGGTTGTGCCGTAGCCCCGCACCTCCGGCAGGTGACTCCTCAGCTCCGCGCTGCGCCGTTCCCGCAGGGCCCCTTTCCATCCCTGTCACCACCCTGAGCCGCAGCTTTTTGGGGGCGGCCCGGGGGTTTCTTTTCCTCCTCCCTGCGGTGATGCCTTGGGGTCGGGGCTCCTTCCAGCCCACAGCGCGTGACGAGGAGCTGCTGGCGTTGCGTCTCACGGCGAGCAGAGCCGGCACGGGACCGCGGGGATGCGCTCCTGCTGCCGGTGCGGAGCATCTGCCCCTGGGTGATGAGTCTCACAGCCCCACGTGGAGAAGATGGCAGAGTTGTGGCCGTGCTCCTCCTCCTTCAGCGTCCTCCAGCGTGCTGCTCGCCACCACGAGCTCAGGGGTCGGCTCGCTTTGTTTCCAAGTGAAGCTCTGTCCCCTCATGTGGCTGGGTGAGAGGTGAAGTCGGGCTCATTACTCCATGCTGGATTGGTTTCCTCTGGGAAGCGAGTTCCTTGCAAAGGAATTGCAAAGGTTTGCAAGGACCTTGCAGAGGTTTGGCACGGTCCCTCACAGGCTTCTTCTGGGGAAACTGGCTGCCCGTGGTCTGCACAGACACTGCATTGGGTAAGGAAATGGCTGCAGGGCCGTGCCCAGCAGGACGTGGTGAGCGGAGTGAAGTCCAGCTGGCGACCCGTTTCAAGTGGAGTCTCCCAGGGCTCGGTGCTGGGGCCCATCTCCTTTAATATCTCCCTTGATGACCTGGATGAGGGCATTGAGGGCACCCTCAGTTTGCAGATGGCACCGAGCTGGGAGGTGGTGTGGATCTGCCTGAGGGCAGGGCGGCCCTTCAGAGGGATTCAGACAGGCTGGGCTGAGGTGAACGGGATGAGGTTCAGCAGGGCCAAGTGTCGGCTGCTGCACTTTGGGCACAACAACCCCATGCAGCGCTGCAGGCTTAGGGATGAGCGGCTGGATGAGTGTGAAGAAGAGAAGGAGCTGGGGGTGCTGGTTGATGCTGGGCTGAACAGGAGCCCACAGGGTGCCCAGGTGGCCAAAGGGCCAACGGCATCCAGGCCTGCATTGGAAACGGTGCAGCCAGCAGGAGCAGGGAGGTGAGCATCCCCTGCACCCAGCTCTGGGGAGGCCGCACCTCCAGTGCTGTGTTCAGTTTTGGGCTCCTCACTGCAGGAAAGACATTTGAAGCCCTGCAGCGTGCAGAGAAGGGCAAGGAAATGGTGAGGGGTCTGGAGCACAAAGATGAGGAGCGGCTGAGGGAGCTGGGGTTGTTCAGCGTGGAGAAGAGGAGCTCAGGGGAGACCTGACTGCACTCCTGAAGGGAGGCTGGGGTGAGGAGGGCTTTGGCCTCTTCTCCCAGGCAACGAGCAGCACACGGGGCAATGGCCACAAGTTGTATCAGAGGAGGTTGAGGTTGGACATAAGGAAGAACTCTTTCTCTCGGAGAGCGGTCAGGACTGCAATGGCTGCCCAGGGAGGTGGTGGAGGCGCCGACCCTGGCAGCGTTCATGAGGCGCCTGGATGAGGAGCTGCGTGATGTGGTTTGGTGGTGATGTGGTTATGATGTGGTTACGTGGTGGAGGCTGTGGTGATGAGGAAACGGTTGGGCCGGATGATCTTGCAGGTCGTTTCCAACCTTGTGATTCTATGATTCTATGATTCCTTGCTGCTCACCTCTGTGAATGACAGATCAGAGCGGGTGATTCTGCAGAGGAAGCCCCCTCCTGAGGGACGAAATGCAAACGCTGCTCCCTCTGTGGGCGCTGAGGCTCTCCCAGCTGCAGTTGTGCAGCTCTGGGATCCCTGATGTGACGGAGCCACGCAGGGCTCTTTGTGCTGGAGGAGGCAGCGCTTTGTGGCCGGAGGCTGAGCTGTGGGTTGGGGTCCTCAGGGGGCAGGGCTGTGACCCGGTGGCAGCAGATGTGCTCAGGATGAGCCCCCGGACCCCCACGATGAGTGTGGTTGGCTCGGAGCATTCAGCCTTTGTGCTGCTGCCCGGGGCTGGTGTTAATTCCTGGTTAATCTCGGTTTGTAATCGGAGTTAATGATGGCCCAGCTTTGGCTTTGCCCTCTCTGTAAACGGGGAGCTGAAAGCGCTCGGCCTATAAGCAGGAGGGGGGCACTGAGGGAGCAAAACATCCCTGAAATGGTTTTGTTTTTCTCCCCTCCTTTACCTGCGCTGCTCGCGTCTCCCCGCTGTGTCTCCCCGGCTCTGAGCTGGGCTTTGGCTTTGGGCTGCACTCGGTGCCGGGTTGGGATGTGCTGCGTCCATCCGTGGGGAAGCATCGCCTTCTGATGCGGTGTCTGCTGCACCCTGTGCAGAAATGATTTCTCTTTGCCCTGGTGGCCCCTTGTTGGGAAGGGGAGAGCGCTGAGCGTGGGAAGGGGCTTCAAGACCTTAAAAGTTCCCCCTGGAGCAGCTTGTGGGCTGCAGGCGCTGAGATGGACGGGGAAACCCAGCGCTCCTCGTGCTCCAGGTGTCAGGGGAAGCAGCGCAGGGCGCCGGGCTGCCCTGTGGGGTTTGTGGGGTCAGAGTCCATCGCTGGGGGAGAGCGGCTGGGCTTCACAGGGGACGTGGGGTGGTGGAGCTGTGGGGTGGTGGAGCTGTGGGGTGGTGGAGCTGTGGGGTGGTGGAGCTGTGGGGTGGTGGAGCTGTGGGGTGGTGGAGCTGTGGGGTGGTGGAGCTGTGGGGTGGTGGAGCTGTGGGGTGGTGGAGCTGTGGGGTGGTGGAGCTGTGGGGTGGTGGAGCTGTGGGGTGGCTGAGTGCTCGCACTGTGTGCCTTTGTGTTTTAGGACAGCGTGGTCCCCGCGGCAGGGGCCGCTCCAGCTCCTGCTTTCTCCCTCTCTTGCCTTCAGGGGAAGCACGCAGCGAGAAAGGAGATGTCGGATAAAGGGAGCAGCATGGACGGAAAGACGGACATCGCGAATGGTGAAGGCAGGGGAAGCTCAGCCCCAGGGGAGCAACGTGGGGAGCAGAGCGGGGGAGACGGAGCTGGGGGAGACAGAAAGAGGGACCGAGGCCGCGTGGGGTCTGGCTCTGCGGGCTGCTGCTGGGTGCAGAGCAGAGGCTGGGGGGTCAGGGCTCGCTCTGGCCACCTCAGCTCCCTGTCACGGGGCCGCGTGCCGGCGTGCAGGGGACGGATGGGGTGGAAAGAGCAGGTGGGCCGGGACGTCTCGGAGCTCACGGCACTGTCTGTGCGGTGCAGGCAGCCTGTCCAGCAGCCCGGAGGAGATGTCAGCCGAGGAGGGCCGAGAAATTTCTTCCGGCATCGAGGTGGAGGCGTCCGACGTCAGCCTGAGCCTCACTGGAGACGACGTGGGGCCCAACCGCACCAGCACAGAGAGCCGCGACACCGACACCGAGAGCTCGGCGGAGGAGAAGGACTCTGACAGCATGGACGACACGGGCCACTACTCCATCAACGAGGAGTCGCGCACCCTCGACTGCTCGCACTCGGAGGAGGAGGAGGAGGAGGAGGAAGAGGAGGAGCAGCGATCCCACCGCCGCGCTCAGCGCAAACGTGCCAACCACGACCGAGATTCCTCGGACGACGAGCAGGCGCTGGAGGACTGGGTGTCCTCGGAGACCACGGCGCTGCCGCGGCCCCGCTGGCAGGCCATCCGCGCCCTGCGGGACAGGGAGCTGGGCTCCAGCCCCCGCTTCGTCTACGAGGCCTGCGGGGCCCGGCTCTTCGTGCAGCGCTTCCGCCTGCAGCACGGCCTGGAGGGCCACACGGGCTGCGTCAACACGCTGCACTTCAACCAGAGGGGCACGTGGCTGGCCAGCGGCAGCGACGACCTCAAAGTGGTGGTGTGGGACTGGGTGCGGAGGCGGCCGGTGCTGGAGTTTGAGAGCGGCCACAAGAGCAACGTCTTCCAGGTGAGCAGCTCCCGCTCCGGTCTCTCTGGGTGCTGCATCCACCCCGCGGGGTCAGGGCCTGATTTCCCTGCCTGCTGCTGCTGTGCGGGGCAGCAGAAGGGGCTTTTCTCCAAGCTGGGGGCTGTCGAAGCCTCTCGAAGGCTCCAAAGTCGGGCTGGGGGCCGCTCAGCTTTGCCGCTGTGCCCGGAGCCCCCGGCCGGTGCTGCTGCTGTTGATCCCGGTGCCGGAGGAGCAGCGTTCCGACGGTGCTGCGCTGTGCCGCGGCTCTGCCGCCGCCAGAGGGGGCCCGGACAGCCGGCCTCACCGCGGGATGCCAGGACTGCGATCCTTGCCGTGTCTCCTCCGGGTTCTCCCAAAAGAGCCAGGATGGTTTCTCGACCCTCCAGCTGCGCCTCTAAAGATCTAATCCTCATTGCTCCTCAGACTCGGCTGTGAGCCCTCACCCTCTGCTTGCTGTCTTCCAGGCCAAGTTCCTCCCCAACAGCGGTGACTCCACGCTGGCCATGTGTGCTCGGGACGGGCAGGTGCGGGTGGCTGAGCTCTCGGCCACGCAGTGCTGCAGGAGCACCAAGCGTGTGGCACAGCACAAGGGAGCTTCTCACAAGGTGAGCCCTCAAAATGGGCTGGGGGCACGGGGGGGGGCTGAGGAGGGCCTTGTTGTGCTGCCTGGCGGAGCAGCACGCAGCCGTGGGGCGTCGAGGGCGCGGGGATGTGGGGTGGGTTATGGGGAGAAAGGGATTCGAGTGCATTGTTGGGTGAAAAGGGAACCAATGCCCGAGTATTTATCTTACAGCTGGCCCTAGAACCGGATTCTCCATGCACTTTCCTATCAGCAGGTGAAGATGCTGTCGTCTTCACCATTGATCTGCGACAAGACCGGCCTGCCTCGTGAGTATCCCCCTCCTGCTGCAGGTGGGGATCTGTGGGCTGTGGGTCTCTGCCCCATAACCGTCGTGTCGGTGTTTGGATGCCCGCTTTCCTGCTGGACGTGCAGCATTTGGGGGCTGTGACGGCACTGAGGGGCACTGGGAGGTGATCAGAGAGATTCTGCTGCTTAGCAGGAGCAGCGTTGGGACCCCGGGCGGGTTTGGTGTCGCTGTGGCTGCAGTCCTCATTAATGAGTCTGCAATTAAACCTTGTCCTCCACCAGTGTGGAGCGCAGGTAGGGAGCAGCAGCGCTGCTGCTGTGTGTCCCCACGCAGCCCCTGTGCTGGCAGCTCGCTGTGTCCCCACCTCAACTCATCACACGGGCGCTATCCCAATTAATCAAAAACCAGTAATGAAGGAGCAGAGAGTTTGGCCCTTTCTGACAACCCTCCAAATCAGGGCGGCCGTCTGGGCCTGGATTCGGGGCGCTTCTCCAGCACAGCGCAGTGTTATTCCAGAGCTGATCCTGCTTAGAGCACAGAGCTGCGCAGCTCAGCTGCTGGAGCTCCGCTTTTATTTCTGTGCACGAGGGCTTTTGTCTGCAGCCCCGAACGCATCTGTTTCATAACCAGGACAAGAGCAGCTTTGCAGCTTGCTGTTCCCTCCCCAGGATGCTGCTTGGGTTTGTGTGCCGAAATATTTTCCTGGGGGGGGGGGGGAGGGAGGGGAAGGGAGGCAGTGTGTCAGATTCCGCTCAATCTGGGCCTCGTTACAGCGAGACGGGTGGGGAGAAACAACAGCAGAGGGTTTTGGCTTTGGAGTTCATCTGATCCCTGCTCTCTCTGCTGCCGGCCCGGCTCTGCTGGGCCGTGAAACCCTTTGGATGCTTTCGGAGCCCGACGCCAGGGGATGATTTCACTGCGCTGTTTGACTCACAGGCAGCTCGGTTTGGAAGCTGCGGTGCTTGGGAGGTTTTGTGTGCGTGTGCTTTTTGTCTGAGCTCACGCCGCTCCTGCGTTTCCCATCTGGGCCCTGTTTTGGAATCCAAGGTGGATTTTTCTCTCGGCCGTTGTTGCTGTTATTCCCTGTCTCTTAAAGGAAACTGGTGGTGACGAAGGAAAAGGAGAAGAAGGTGGGGCTGTACACCATCTTCGTGAACCCAGCCAACACCTACCAGTTTGCTGTGGGAGGCAGAGATCAGTTTGTGAGGTGAGTGGGAGCCCCCCCAGCAGCGCTGCGGTCCTTAATGCCTGCAAAGCCCGCTCTCCTGTAAGCAGCACCAAGACCAGCGGGATTAACGGAGGGATTTGGATCCGTGGAGGTTTAGCACTGGGATCCGCTGCCAAGCCCTGCTCTCCCTTCCCCCGGAGGCAGTGATTCTCTTAGCCTTAACGAGCTTCTGAGCCATCTTCTCTCCGTCCTCAGCTGCCTGGCCAGGCCTGGTGCGCTTTGGAGCTGAGATGGAGCTCGGGGAAGGTCTTTGTTTCAGCGAGACTGGGCTCCCTAATCCCAGCCCCCCTCCCTTCCCCTGCTGCAGCAATTAAAATCTCCCTGCGCTCACATAATGGCCAGCACTGGGACGACCCCACAGCTCTGGCTGCTCCGTCCCCGCGGCGCTGCGGATTCGCCCAGCTGAACCCTTCCCCACGGCCGCCTCTCCCGCACTGCCTGCCATCCTCTGCCCATCAGCAGCTGCTGGGATCCAAGCTGCTCTCCCCTCGTGCCATCGTCCCCCCGCTGCGCTGCCCTCGGAGGCGCTCAGGGCTCCGTTTTGAGGCACAGACCCTCGTTGCTTCG